GCGGGTCCTTCCGGTGTCCCTGCTAGCACATGAAGTCCTTTTTTCGGTCGTCAAAGTCTTTCAAAGGTCCTTCAAAGTCGTTCAGTAAAATATGGGCAGCTACTTGATCTACTCCGTATTCCAGCAAGGGGTGCACATATATGTGTAGGTTACGTTAACTAAAGTAGAAGCATAACATTGGTTAGTTGCTTCATTCTTTCAAAAAATCCTATATGATTTCTTAAAAAGAGTCATCGACCCACCTTTTGAATTTTGCCGCGCCTCTAAATTTTCCGCTTCCCCTGGCACTGCTCCGTTTGGTTGTAGATTCTGCTTCGCCGTGTTGGACTTCTATTTTTCGTTGTGCATTTTCGATAGCGGAGAAATAGTTTGAGTTGGTAGTAAGCCATTTCGACGTGAGTTAGATATAAGAAGCACAATATGTGTTTTTTCATTACAGTATTGCAAAAATGAACTTTTCAGCTTGATTTCATTTCTCAAGCTTTGTCCTTGGTTCGCACTAGCTGCTATCGCCCAACGCACAGTTTGCGCATTGTTATCCACTTGTGCAATTACTTGTACTCTACGTAGATAGCTTCATTGTGAGCTTCTTTTCCATTTTGCGGGGCGCATTCGCTTAGTAATATCGGTGAAGATATTGCACGACGTTTCGGTGTTTCTATTAATCAAGATCTTTTTGTATGTACGTCGCCATCTTTAACATAACCTTTGATGTTCAGCATTATTAATGAGACCTCGTTGTACAAACCGACAATTGCCCGCGCGGGATCGGTATTTGCGCTCGAAAACATGCCTCGGACAAATTGAGCAAAGAGATTGTCCTGTGGAGGTTACGGAAAATGAGATCCTAACGCCAAAAAATGTGAACCATTACCACATACCGGTAATTTATAATCTCCCTAAGTTATTGCTGATTACCTCATATAAGAAAAAACAGGGCGTTTGTGCACCAATAACATACAGGTACACCGAAGTCTGCAGACTGCCGATGACTTTGAGCCACTCCAGGAAGCGCATGGTCCCCACAGCCGTTCTCTATGGCTCTCTAGCTATCTTTTCTTTAACTGAGTTGGCCTGCTCGATGGATAAAACCCACGTCAGTCGTCTTCCCAGCAATACAACATGGGCAGATACAAACCAGCTTATACAGGTAAGGGATACATCTTTCTTAATATTAAACTTCAGCCTACAATACTGCATCTCACTGTGATAACAATTCGAACGAACAGCTTCGGAAAACGGATTCCGATTGGTGCTTACACTTTGTAGCTTGGGTGTCCTAGTCCTAGAGTCTACCTGACTCCTCCTTCATCACCGTTCCTAGAAGCGATTGGAATGGCATTCACCGTAAGCATGTACTCGAGGTTTTACCATTTTCTTGCAGGCGATATGAACCAAATGAAGAATAAACGAGTTCATAGATGGTAACTTCCTACATTCCTAAAACGGTATACATTTTCAGGTAATGTTCAGTGTCTACCTAATACACTGTTGAGAATACATACGTATGAAGACGCTAGAGTATGTGAAGAGTTACATGAGATCGATGGCTGCAACCATTGCCGGGCAAACAGGGCAGCAGGCAACGCCGCTTCCTTCGCGAATTACATCGGTGGAGGAACTACAGTCATTTGTTATACTAATGCAGGAGGCATTCAACAATTGGTAAGATTCCTTGATACCTCACATATGCATGCAGTCTAAACTGAAATTTGTGCATGGAGACACGTTGTCGGAGACTGTACGTCTCATGATGCAGCGTCTTCTAACGCGGTCATTGATGGCGGAGATCAATTACCCCTGTCTCCGCAACAAACACGGATTCCGGAAGATGAAGCTATTCACCGAAGTGCAAGGTAAGCAACATCTTTGCCCTTTCCTCCTCGTCGTAGCTGCTCTATTAAAACGTTTCTCCGGAACTATTGTGTCACCTGATGATGATGTCAGTAAATACTTGAAATCGATTCGTGGCAACGCATGGCGCGACACTACCAAAGGTAGTGCAAGCAGCCAGCAGGTATGAAATGGTGGATTACTTATTACCATTTCTTAAATAAGGTTTTCTAATTCGTGGACTTGGAGCGCTCATGAGACAGCGTGGAAGAAGCGTAACCGATTTAAACGGAACTTGGACGTCTGTTGTCAATATTGATGTCCTTCCATTTAATGTATCCACTACTATGCGCCGGTAAACGGACTTCTTACTGTGAAAAAATCGAATTCCATTCCCGCTTTCTTCGTGCTTATTGGGAATGAAATACTAAGACATCACTATGAGTAGTGGGACTGGACCCTGTGCGCCGTGTTAAACATGGTTTCCTCTATTCAGTAGCAGCAGGATGTTGCGCCGCAGGAGAAAAGAGGTCATATTGGCGATTAGCTATGACTCGCACATTTACTTTGCATTAGTAAGCTGTAGTAATACCTGCGTTACATATTATTATTAACGGGAAACGCAGGTGGGGATTTGAGATCCCCCTTCCAGCGGTGTGCGAGATTGGGTTTGTAGCCAATACCTGGGGTGTACAGGGGCTGCAGCTAGGTGCGGCGTACAGGGGTTTGCAGGTAGGTGCGGCGTATAGGGGTTGCGGCTAGGTGCGGCGTGCAGGGGTACCGGCTTGGTGCGTGCGTAGTGTCGTGGTGCGTGCACGGCCTTGGTCCACGCCGTCCAAGGTCAACCGTCAATGACCATTCATACTCCTCCAGTCTGTCTGTCATTCACTGTTTAACCTAGGTTTCTGATTGGACAGGGTGCAAAGTCCTTCACTGTGTACTTAATACAGCTGCAGTGGAAGGACAAATTTCGCTTTCATAATGGTCGCAAAAGTCCTTAACCATGGATTCCGGTTTATAGTTGACGGTTAAGGACTTTACCACCCATTTTCGCCTTCAAAGTCCTTTTTGTGCTGGCAGGGGTACCAGCGCCGAAAGTAACGTTCGGCCTCGGTGCAATATCACCCTTATATTTTCCTTGTATAACGCCCTCCGAATTGCCTCCGAAGTGCCTTCCTTGTACGGAATTCCGACAGTCCAAATCCACTCGGCTGGGGGTCTTCAGTGCCGGTGTAACACTTTATACAATTGGCGTTTAACTAGCCGTCTTGGGTAACCACTTTCTAATAGTTTGCCCATTGCTACTCTCCGCGCAGCCATTTTGTCCTCCTCCATTGTGCACAAGGTTTGTGCCCTGTAGAAAAGCGCTGAGGCTATCCCAGCGTAAACCTGTTTCGGATGAACCGAGGTGTAGTGGAGTACGCCATCAGTATCCGTTGGCTTGCGATATATTGTCGTCTTTAAATTTCCCCCACTCCTGTAAACCATGCAGTCAAGAGATGGTATTGTGCCGCTGCAAGATTCTAACTCAATAGTAAACTGTATTCTCTCATCAATGGAGTTTAAGCGATCAAGTAAGCCGTCATTCTTATCCCGTTTAACAAGTACAACGGTGTCGTCTACATAACGCCACCAAACTTTGGGTAAGTTAACGTTGTTTGTTAACGCCCTGTTCTATATAAATAAATAAATATTTATTCTCGACTATGCGAGGCACGCCAGTTGAGGCATGATCAGGTATGTACAGCTGTACAGACATTTTATGGGAACTATAGTGACAGTAGAAAATTGTTCATATGTCCATGCTTGGAACTGTGCGATGGTGAACATACGAAAGAACGATTTGGTTGTAGTGGGATCGGGATCCATTTGTTTGGACAAAATCGCTCTGCCATATATCGCAGTCATACCTCGAGTAATAATAGATAAAGAATCCTGAGTGATCCATTGGAAGATAATTGAAGAGCAAGCTATCCAGTATGATGATTCTAATTGAACTGCCAGTGTGAAGTTATGGGCTGTGACTTTATTCGGTGGCGAGTCACATTCGCCATGTTGCAGTGTTGTTAAACGGACATTTGTGGCTTTTTATAGGGAGAAGGCTTGCCAGGCGAAAACGCACCACGTCCTGAAACACTGCCGCCAATCCATCGAATGGCAAGTTGTAACTGGCTATGTTTCTTGTTGAACGTTCTTTTGCTCCGTTATTCGCAGTCAAGTTGCGTCCCATTTTTCTGCTGACTGATGAGCTATGCGAGTGGCCATTGCGTGCCTGGGTCCTCTCCTGTTCCAGATCGGTAGGTCAGGAACTAAGTATTCTTTCTGGATATGATGTGTTGATCATCTGCAGAACCACGTGAAGCCTCGAAGAATATACGTTGAAATATGTTGAAGTCTTGGAGGACAGGATAGGTTCCGAAGAAAGAATCGCAGATCCCCTC